TTTTAAACATTTAGAAAAAAAGCGCGTCTAATGCGCCGACAAATACGGTATATATATATATATGTATTGATATACACATGTACATTCATATAAATATATATGTATATCTGTACATATATATGTACATTTATGTATACATACACACACAAGCACACACAAACACACACACATCATCATCATCATTGCTATCATCATCATTGCACACACACAAACACACACATCATCATCATTGCTATCATCATAATTATCATTATTATAACAGTTGACATTAACGTTGTCATAATTATTTTCAGCTGAAAGGAACTAAACGCAAATATGATCATTGGAAATGGTACGACACACCTCCCAATTAGTGTTGCCACATGGTTTTTGTTCGGACAGTCCGTTTTTGATGTTTAGTGTCCGGTGTCCGGCAGAGACCCAGAACTGGACCATAGAAAGTCCGGACTTGGTGAAAGTCTCAAAATGAATGCCCCTCCTTAACATTAGATGGCTATTGTGTCACAGACAGCCGGACGTTGCTATCTTTACAGATAGCACGTGAGACGAGTTATGAGAAGTAAAAAACGCAGTTGGGTAAAGCAGTCTAGTGATTGTTTATATAATATGTTTCTCCATTATTAACATAATATGCAATGCAGTAGGGTAAAGCAGTCTATACTATACTATAGTCCAAATAAAGCAGTTTGTTTTTAAAGTCCAATGAGGCAAAAGATTTGCTATGGTGTGTGTATAATAAAGTTCTTGGGTTTATGTTTTTATGTTATTCACGTTTTTAGTGAGCATGATCTTCTTTAAATATATACAATAATTAATAGTTAAGCTCCACACAAAAATATTGCTCTGTCCAACTGCAAATGCCGGTTCATCACAGCATCACAGGATGAGAGGGGAGTCCAGGGCCCCAGGCCGATATGTCCGGTTTTCGCGTCACACAAATGTGGCAACACTACTCCCAATACAGCTAACTCATTTCTCCCTGTCCTTAACCTTCTGTACAAAAACTTCACAACAGACTCGCACTCACTCCATTTATTACCGTCCCGCCATTGGGACAACCCCCTTCTCCCAATCCCTTTGTTCGAAGAAGTCATCATCTATACACAAATCAACTACGGCATTGCAATACACACTTCAGATTTCTTCTCCCACAGATGCGGGTGGCACTTACCTTTCTCCTGGTGGCACTCACGGGCGTGTCTCTCGGGAAACTGGGTCCCCTCGAGAGGCCTTACAAAATCCTCATGCTGCTGCCCGCGGGGTCGAAGAGCCACAAACACTTCTTCATGAGTATTGCCGATGCCTTGGCTGAGCGAGGACACAGGGTGAGGCTCAGCTGGCAATAAGTAGAGAGAGGGAGAGAGAGAGAGAGAGAGAGAGAGAGAGAGAGAGAGAGAGAGAGAGAGAGAGAGAGAGAGAGAGAGGGGGGGGGAGAAAGTGGGAGAAAGAGAAAGAGGAAGAAAAAGGGAGAAAGAGAGAGAGAGAGTCGTCTGACTGTCTTCATTTGATAATAGTTATCTGGTAGAAAATCACTTAACATTAATGCTGGAGGGAGTTAGGATCACATAAAAGATGCAATTAGAGTCGAGTCTAACCTGACCTCTCCTCAGAGAAATGTAGTCATCATAGATTCATCAACAGAAAAGGCAATACACCAGCCATTCTAAATTGAAATCAGAGTGACCCTTCCTTCACCAGGTAGTGATGCTTTCTGGGTATCCTGCGTCCTCCCAGAACCCCAACATCTTGGAAATCAACCACGGGCTCAAGGATTTTGATGTCGAGAACATGAACTTATTTGATTTCCTAAATGATCCCTCGGGAGGTTTTTCTATCCTGTTGGACATGCTTCCTCCTATGGCCAAGAAATTATACAATATCCCAGAGGTGATGGAGCTGTATCACAAGAGGAAGACGTTTGATCTCATTATTGTAGATCAATTGATGAATGAGGTAAAAAAGAATAATAATTTTATTGTTCATTGTGTGTCATATTTACTCATTATAATTACTTGTACATACACATACCCATTAGTGTGTGCATTGATACGCGCAGATAACACTGTATGTGAATGAATGTATTTCCATGTGTATCTCATTGGAAGATCCTTCGGTGTTGTTAACCAGAGTACAGAGTGCTGTGGTACCAATTATATATTGATTGTGGATACCCTCCATGTTCACTTCAAAACCCTTTGTCTGTCCAGTGACCAACCTAAGGTAAAGCCTTTAGCACTAGAATTATCTTGAGCCTGTCTCACTTGGACAGGATGACGGAGGAGTGTGCTTGAGTGTTTGTCAGGATTATCTCTTTCACAATACTCAAAAATCTGACTGACCCTATAGCTCTGTGGGATACCTCCAAATGTATAACACTTGATGCAGCTCATGAGTCCATTGGTGACTGCCTGAGAACAACGTGGATCTTTATCCTGCAGGAGATGCTAGAGGCCCCGGATGGCTCAGTTGGCTGGTGACCGGGACTTGTATTGATCCCTGACATGTAGGACTGACATTGATTATTAGGAATCTTGCTTAGGAGACTAAGGGCCATTTCTCTGTAAATGACCTTCGTCTTGCCTACCAATCTAAAGAAAGTAGAACTCGAAGCCCCCGTTACAGATGACTGCGGTCCACTCCATTAATGGTCAGATTATGTAATTATGATGATTTTAAGAAGTGGTAGCAGTTTAAACCAGTGACATGGACATGTATCATGATCCTAATGCTGAATTTTACCCTTATAGAAATTAGGGTGACGATCTCCAAGTTGACTGATGGTAAACCAGAGACAATTTACAGCATCCCTGCTGAATTGTAGGAGTCTTGCTGTTAGCCCATGGCTTTTAGATTACATGTTTTGCTGGCTGCCATCTGGCTGTCTGGTACCAGGAATGTTAAGGGGCAAGTAGCAATTACCGAGGCATTGCACTGCTCAGCATACCAGGCAAGATTCTCGCTCTCATCTTTCCGAGGCATATCAAAGACCACCTACTAAGGAACTAAAGACCAGAATGATCTAGATTCATTCTTGGCAAGTCCACAATAGATCAGATCCTTGTGGTTCAAGCACTGTCATGCGTTGGGTCATGGATTACTTGCTGCTTACATTGACCTTCAGAAGCCATATGGCTCTGCATCATGTATCACTCTTCGAGGTCCTGAAGAGGAATTCTGAAAGTGCAGCAAATATTGATAGAGCATGTCTTCCTTCTTTCTTATGAATTTAAGATTAAGGCAAGTCAGCAGTATGAGAGCCTTGAAGAATGCGTCCATGGCTCCTGAGGCTAACTCATCTGTTGACTTCCTGATATGAGAGCCTAGTGTCACTACCAAAATATGTAAACCTGTTTGTACAGGTTGAATAGGTCCAAGACATCTCTAGAACTAAGAGCTGCACCTTAAAGCTAAATGTTATTAGTGTCTTCAAGAATTTTGCTTAATACGTATTTTTACCAAACTGGATTATCGGCAGAAAGTTACGATCCAAAGTCAATGTAGACCAACACTGAGCAACACCATGATCATCGGCTTAGCTAACGATGTTGTATTCTATCCGAACTCTTGAAAACACTAGTAGCATTTAGCAATAAGGTTAAGCTCTCAGCTCTAGAGTTAGCTTGTCAACAGAGAGTTTTGCATAGCTTGGTTATGTAGTATTGCAGTATGGATGTAAAACATTGACGTCACATCTTCATGCTTTTTGCAACCAATTCTTGTGTTGCATCATAGGTTACAGGCGGCATAGGCACTAGTCCACCAAACTGCCACATGAGGATAAGTGGACGCCTCTCTAAAGATGACCCACCCATCAAGATGTCTCCTCTAGAGACGAGGACCCTCGTAGCAGGAAATAGAGGGTGGATGCGGCAATGCATTGCTCATTAATTGATTGAGTGTATGTGTATGTGTCTGAAAAAAATATGTATATATATACATATATTTCTTTATGTAGATGTACACCAGTGGACAAGTACTAGAGTGATTTAGTGTCATCATGATGCAAAACTTGGTTATGCCTGTTTCAGATGGTCTACCCGTTCGTACACGAACTAACGTACATGACAATAGTGGCCTACGGGATGGACGTGTGCCACAGCGCCGTGCTGGGCAATGTCCAGAACCCGGCCTATGTCTCTGGGCCACTGCAGGAGTACCCGAGCCCACTCAGTTTGAAGCACCGCCTTTTGAATCTTCTGCAGCACATTTTGATGCCCTTTTACTGGAGGCATTGGGGTGCTGTGCCTAAAATGCAGAAGGAGGTTAGATATTGCTATATCTTCATCTTATCGATGCCATTAAAGATTCTTTACAGGAATCGTAATCGTTATCATCACAAATATAATTATTGCTGCAGGTATTACCATTATCATCACTTGTAGTAATAGTAGCGATGACAAAAGTGGCTGTAGTAATAGTAGCGATGACAAAAGTGGCTGTAGTAATAGTAGCGATGACAAAAGTGGCTGTAGTAATAGTAGCGATGACAAAAGTGGCTGTAGTAATAGTAGCGATGACAAAAGTGGCTGTAGTAATAGTAGCGATGACAAAAGTGGCTGTAGTAATAGTAGCGATGACAAAAGTGGCTGTAGTAATAGTAGCGATGACAAAAGTGGCTGTAGTAATAGTAGCGATGACAAAAGTGGCTGTAGTAATAGTAGCGATGACAAAAGTGGCTGTAGTAATAGTAGCGATGACAAAAGTGGCTGTAGTAATAGTAGCGATGACAAAAGTGGCTGTAGTAATAGTAGCGATGACAAAAGTGGCTGTAGTAATAGTAGCGATGACAAAAGTGGCTGTAGTAATAGTAGCGATGACAAAAGTGGCTGTAGTAATAGTAGCGATGACAAAAGTGGCTGTAGTAATAGTAGCGATGACAAAAGTGGCTGTAGTTAGCGATGACAAAAGTGGCTGTAGTAATAGTAGTAATAATAATAGCAGTATCATACTTATGATCATAAAACATTTGAACATTTGAATATTTGCACCCATAACTTTGC